CCCAGAAATATAAGACCAGTCTGAGCAAAAGAGCAAGATTCGTTACACACACACACACACACACACACACACACACACACACTCCAACAGTAAGATGAAGTGCATTACAACTTTGTGTCTCTGTAGTATATCAAGTTTCAGATATTCTTAAATCATTCCCATAGCATAACAGAAAATTCTGTTGAATTTACATTTGTATGGAAAATTTTTTATTTTTCTCACTGCAGTAAATCACCCACAGCTCAAAATCACAGTCCTCTCTGTCACGTTTTATTAATTAGAACCAACTCCAGCAAGCCCTGTCACTTTTGCAATACAATTATGCTTGGTTTCTAGGCTTAGAAGAAGGTGTGGCAGCAGAAAAATAGACTTTAGATTTTCTGTCGACTTTAGTCTTCTTTCAAGGTCTATCTTAGGGATAACTATTCCAGATGGTTGCAGTTGCTACTAGGGCACAGTCTTTATGTTACTCTTTGCTATACTAGCATTATGACTTGTATTTATATAATGTCACTTTATATTCAAAATTCTTCAGACTATCTTCTATTATTTACCTGAATTGATGAGACACATAGAACCATGCTTTAAAATTGTATGTCCCCTTCCTATATACTCCCCACCCACTGCGCTTTACATTTTTCTGTAACATCAGTGTAAAAATTTACCTATTTTATCATGCCTCTCATATAAATATAAATCCATAAGAGCAGAGATTTTTGTATTGCCATGCAAGATATAGGGCTTAGCACTTGTAAGTGTTCTATAAAAATTTGTGGAATAAAGAGTGCCCCGTGGAGCAGATGCAAAAAAAAGTCTTAGATATTATTATTACCATCACCTCTCACACTAGCCAACACCTCTACCATTTCCAATAGAATAAAATCTCGAATAACCAACCTGCCACTCACAGCCCCTGGCCAAATGGCAACCGCCTTGATGTCACCTGTGCGGTCCCCACTCTAAGGCTTCTGGCACAGGAAAATGAACATGGCAGCAGCATCCTACACTCCCCGCTGAGAATTTTGAGGACACTCTTTCAAAATGTTCTTCCCATTTAGGCAAATCTTCCTAACCCTGAAAACCCAAGTGAGACCCAGCCCTACCCGGTCTCACTGGTCTCTCCCTCTGAGTTCTTCTCTCTCGTCTACCCGGACCTTGGTCAACAAGCCCAAGGACAGCTCTTAGGATACAGGTTTATTTTATAGAACTTGTGCCCGTCAGCTTTCTGTCAAGGTGACAAAGATAATCAAGTTATAAGGAGGAAAGATTTGTTTGGGATCATGGTTTTAAAGCTATTAATCCATGGGTGCTCAGCCCCATTGCCTCTAGCAGTGTGTCAAGGCAGAAAACCATGGCCGGAAGGAGATGACAGAGGAAACTGCTCTTGTCATTATGGCTGGGAAGCAAAGAGAGAGCCCGGAGGCACCAAGGTTCCAACATCTCCCTCAAGGTCCCAAGCCTAGTGCACTTGTCCCCATCTCCCAAAAGGTTCCACCACATTCCAATAGCACTGCAGCCTGGTGACTAAGACCTAGGTCTTCAGGAGCCATTTATTCAAAGTATAGCAGAGCTCTTGAATTGTGTATCTGTGAACGTGAATACAACCATCTCAACTAGACTGTAAACTCCTTGAAGGCAAATACTGTGCTGGAAGAACCAAGTTGGACTCTATTTCCTCCCTTTCTGAAGCTTTTGGCCACTTAAGGAAAATTATGTTTTTGAGATGAGGTTTCACCATGTAGCTCAGGCTGGCCTTGAATTTGCAGCAATCCTCCTGCCTCAGCTTCCTGGGCACTGGGTTTACAGGCGTATGTCACAATGCCTGACCAGAAAATTATTTTAAGTGGGAGATTTTCAGCCCAAATTCTCCAATTTTTACAGAGTGGGGAGGATTCTCTTTGCGTTCTAGAACACTCTTTGTAGACCATCTCCACCACCAAAACAGACATGGTGCGGCTATTTAAAGTCATTTTTTGAACAAAAGAATTATTTATTGAGTGAAAGTCAACAAAAAAATCCTACACACTATATTTCGTGGTTAGCAGCAAATCTGTTATTTTAATTGGCCATAATCTCTCGTCTGTAATACATGATTAATAAATGCTAAGTTCCCAAATTACTTTAGCTCCAGACATATCTGTACTATGAAAACAAGCAAAATGCCCTCCATTTGCTAAAAATCCATGAGCATTCAAAGAATTTGGGTTGAAAAATCTCTCACTGAAAAAAAAAGAATTTTCCTGAAGTAGCAAAGGTTGTTGGAAAAGGAGGAAATGGAGTCCAACCCGGTTCTTCCATTTATAAATAGACCATATAAACATCAACAAATCAGTCAATTACACTTTACTTTCTTTGTCTATAAAATGAAGATATTACTCCTCTTTCAACAACTACTCTAAGGACTAAATGAAATAGCAGATGTTAGATGCTTCTCCCAAAGCAAGTAAACAGTGTGTTACTTCTCCATTTCCTTCCCTGTCCCCTAAAACAAAGCCAGATTATTGTGACACTGTCATACTTTAGAGAAAAAAGTCTCTTATGACCTTCTACACAAACAAAATCCCTAAATAAAATTTGCTGTGGAGCCTTCATGATTCTGCTAACAACTGCAGCACTACAATTTTCACAGCACTTTGGACAATTCTGAGTGTGCTCCTCTCCCCCATCTCCACCTCAGGGCTGGCTCTCTCCTTCCCTTACTGGAATTTAGGCAGCCAAGATTTCAGAGGTTCTCTCCCTCACAGTGGCCTCCCTCAATGCCTCTGCTACAGGTTTTAGTCTATTTACAGCCTATACCCCATTAGCAGGAAAATGTCTTCTGTACTCGCAGATGTCTCTTTTTCATTTGTTTTTCACATTTTCCTCTGATTTTGGCCCCAAGTGAAGAAAAAAACAAAGTCATTTTTTCATCCTCAAGTCGTGTTAAATTGAGGGAGACAAGACAAAGAGTGAGGACCCCAGGCCAAAGCTGTGCAGCTCATCATTTTCCTTCTCTCGGCAGCCTGTGCCTCACACCTCAGCCTCTCAACTCTGCAGCGCCCCTGTGGCCTCTTGGAAGCCTCCCCAGCCAGCCTCAAACTGAGCAGGAAGGGGACTTAGCCTCCTGAGAGGAAGATTAAGCGTTTTAATCAGCCCTAGGAGGAGGAAGTTACTTGTTCCCACGGGCCTGAGCTTTTCTTTTTGTGGGTGTGTTTTCTCTTTTTGAAACCAGGAAACCAAATTTGCCTAATGTTAAGGCCAAAAGGATTGCGGATTCTTTCTTTAAGAACTCATAGCCTAGCCCTTCATGTTCAAATCAGTCTATTTCCAAACTGCTCAATGGAACAGAGGATTTCCAGACTTCTCAGTGAAGCCTGAACTAGTCCATTCTTTTTTTTCTGCCCAGTGGGGGTACTAGGAATCACACCCAGGCCCTTTGTTAAATATGTGCTCTACTACTGAGCTGCTCTTCTCAGTTTATTTCATTACTTTTGTGAAAAGTACACTATTACCAGGTCATTTATGTTTCCATACTTTTCACTCTTATCAAATTCCAACAATGCGCTGGGTGTGGTGGCGCACGCCTGTAATACCAGCACTCGGGAGGCTGAGGCAGGAGGATCACGGTGAGTTCAAAACCAGCCTGGGCTACGTAGTGAGTTCTAGGTCAGTCTCAACTACATAGTGAGACCCTGTCTCAAAAAACAAAACAAAACAACAACAAAACAAATTCCACCAGTGCGAACACTACATTAAATCTCAATTTTCTAAAAAGACAAAAATCAAAACTTCACTTTCTTCTCCATTCTTTTCTTTTCCTCTTTTAAATAAGCTGTTAGGTTCCAGCTTGCACACGTGTACACCTTTCATATTTCCCTAAATTAGCCTCAAGACCCAGAAAGTTCTGCATTTTATGAAATAACTGAGATCCTCTTTCTCTTTCTCTCATTTCCCTTGGCCTCACATACTAGCATCCAGCAGTTCTTGCTGTCAGAAACATCTGGGGTGATGTCATTTTGGCTGCGGAAGCCCACCTCCCCATTTTTTCCTCTCTATACATGGAGAATCCATACCACAGCCCTGGCAAAACCCTTCAGGGACACCCACCTGGAGAACTGGGTCAGAATCCTGGCAGAGTTGGATGGCCCAGTGTTGGTATTTGCCAAAGAATCATGGGCTGATTTTGAAGCTTAATCTACTGGTTGACTTGGGAAGTTACTGAATCCTCCAGCCTGAGGTGACTTATTTGGAAAACGAGGATACTGCCCACCTGCCCCATAAGATCCCAGTGAGATCAGCTGAGCTCAGAGGACCAACCAAACACTCAATCTGGAAATATTCTGGTCAATGTCACCTCTGTGTGATGACTTACTAACACCGTGTCTTTAACAATCCTTCCTTGATCTGTCATTCTTAGTTCACTTAAATACATTTTCAGCTGTACTGGTTACAGCTGTACATTCTGTATTTTTTCTTATCAACACAAAAGGCTATGGTTCTTGGAACAACAGGGGAACTTTAAAGATAAATTCACATACCTTGGCTACACCCCAGGTCTGTTAAAGCAGAATCTCTGGAGATTAGGCCTGAGCACTAGTATTTTTAAATCTTCACAGACAAACTAACAAATACAGATTATTCCATAGTGGGGACGACAATGAAGAAAATGAAAGCAGGGTAACGAGAGGGAGGGATAGATGGGGTAGATGATCCAAGGGTCCTGTGCAAGCACATCCTGCTTCCACTGAGGGCTCCATAGGAGGAAACAGTAGAGCCTCCTATTAGGATCACAGACAGGGAGTTAAGAGTAGTTTGAGGTGAGTTTCACAAGCTGCTGCTGCTGTCACCACCCCAGTCCACCTGGTTCCTTCCTGTTACACTCTTGCTTGGTCAGCTGTTCCTTTGGTTTTGTGCAATTTTGTGTATTTCCTTCGAATAATTTCCCCATTTTTGCTGAAGCTGGCAACAGGTTTCATACAAACTCAAAGAATTTTTACTGGTACATCACGTCATTTACTTACAATAGTCTTCGTTATGTGGTCATATATCATAGATGTGGAACTTCAACACAAGAGGCACGGCAGAGGAAAACCCAGAGGACACGGAGGAAAACAGCAGAGCTGTAGTGGCAGACAGATTCCCAGATACATTTGTAACTTCTTATGGGCCTCCATTTTTGCCTAACTTGTAAAACAAGTACATCACACAAAATATTCATCTCTTCCAGCTCAAATTCTATGCCCTCTGAATGTGGGAGAATTTTCACTTTGAACTTATTATACAGGACTGGATGTTGAGTCTATCACAGCTCCTTGTTAATGAAGGACAGCCCCTGATGCAGGTTTAGGGAATTCTTTTCTTCCTCCTTGTTAGTATATCATCACTCATGTGCCCTATCCTTACTTTCTGTACACCCTCCACTCCATGAATTTGACAAAATGTTATTAGAGTATCCAAGATATAAAAACTTTGAAAGAGCAGTTTCAAAGTAACTCTCCCTGACCTCAATCATCATTTAAATTCTTAAAATCGACAGAAATTTAGAACTTTATTTTCCTGTCTAATGTGACACCCATACACACACATACTATAATAGTCCACTTTCATTACTGTAAGGAAATACTTAAGGCTGAGTAATTTAAAAAAATAAAATGGGATGGCCAGGAGTGGTGGTATATACCTGTAATCACAGAACTCAGGAGGCTAGGACAGGAGGACTGACCCAACTTGAAGGTCCAACTTGGGCTCTGTATGTGAGTTAAAAGACAGCCTGCATTAGACGCATAAATAAATAATAAATAAATAAGTTTAGTTTTTATTTAAGAGGTCTCTTGAGAGGCCATACCTACTGATAGCCCTTTTTGCTGTCAGAGTCCCAAGGTGGTGCAGAACAACATAGGGCAGGAGACAGGGAGCCCATCTGTGTGTGTCTATCCTGTTCAATGAGAGGGGCTTCACCTGATGATCTTACAAAATTCTAATCACCTTCCAAAGACCTCACCTCTAAGCACCATAGTTAAGTTTACCATAGTTAAGTAATACCTCCTAATGGACATTAAATTTGATCACATAAACCCTTGGGGGACACTCTCAAACCATATCCATGTCCTAGCACACACCCAAATAAAGAGCTGCTTTAATCTTTCCAGACACATCCCTAGGTTGAGCCACGCAGAGGTCAGCTTGCTCCTGTCCAGGAGGGGTGGGGCAGCATTGTGTGACTCAGAACATGATGAAAGATTTATATCTTCCTTCACATCTGGCCCTCAGGAACCATGTCAGAGACAGGATACCCATCTAGAACAATTGTCCTAGCTTTACAACCTTCGGGGCTGCCCTCAGATATACATACATGTTCCCCGTGAGTCTGGGATCTACATTTGCACATGCCCTTCTAAGAAGAATCATGTTCTGAGACCAGGTATAGTCTTTCAGAATTACCCAGTATACAGAAACCAACAAAATCCAGAAGTAGAAGGTGTCCCCTTTGAAACACTACTTTTAAATTGGAAAACAGGGTTATCAACAGTATCCAAAGGGAAACACACCTCACCAGATCAAATTGACTGACACTGAGAACACATTGACACTGGATATATTCAATTTTCTTCCTCTCTCCCCTCAAAAAACAATAGAAAGTATTTCTTTAAAACCAATGAAATTCTACTTTGTTTAGCTGATAATCAATTAAATAAAAAATTTTGTGAAGATTTAGTTTACAACTGGCCCAATCACAGAGATAATTTAACATAAAGTGGAATTACCAAGTGGACTTACTCAACGTTCTACATTTTACTGAACTTATGATATCACTGATTTTTACACTATTATTTTATGTACCATTATACCAAAAAAAAAAAAAAGAATGACTTCCTTGAAGACATTAAGATTCCATTAACTGTGACTTCAGGGGTATTAAAATGCAAAAATATACATCTTAGACTTTGTGGTGTATACACTAAGTGGTGCTTAATTAACATTTGTTTCTTTATTCTAGAGATCATAATTCTCTCCCCCCCCCTCCACCCCTTTCTCTTTTACTGAGGACTGAATCCAGGGCATTCACATCAAGCTGTATGCCCAACACCTTTTTCTTTTTTTTCTTCCTCATTGAATTTATTGGTACATTTTAGGTATACAGTACAGTTACATTCATCATTGGGATCTTGTACCTTTACATGACAGGTCTTGGTTCTCATTTTTTACCCTTACCCCTGCCCTCCCTTCACACCCTCCTCCCTTCCCTATTTACAAATACTTTATTTCCATTTTTTTCATTTTCTCATATTCTTTTCTTTTCCCTTTTTTTTCTTTCCCCTACCCTTCCCATTTTCCCCTACACCAAAGGATCTTGTTGAGTTCCCCAGGCTGAGCCTGACCTGGGCAATTTAAGCAAGGCTTTTGAATCACTCCCTCTCCCCTGCCACCACCACTGAAAAAAGAGAGGAGCCTGTAGATGAAGCTCAGGGCAAAAGCCTGTATTCAATCCCAAAGACTACAAAACAAAAAACAATACAAACAAAATAGTATGTTTCATCCTTAAATGTCTCTAAGGAGAGAAGGAAATACTGCTTCATAGTCAGGTGTTAATTGTTATTAAAGTAAGTTTTAAAGGACTTGAGGAAGTAGCAGATCTTTTTGCCCAATTAACAGTGAAAGTAAAGACTATCTGAAAAGCCTGACATAAAAGAATATTAGGGTAAATACGTTAATGTCATCTCTGATCCAGGCTGAACTTGCTTTCCAATTCAAACTCTTTTATTTGACACTGCGTACTGGGTACTGTTGAGTACTTTACATAATTGTTTCATTCAATCTTTGTAATGACCCTTTCTCTAGATGCTGTTATTATCCCCCTTTAAAAGATAAGGCTTACAGAGGGCAAGCTACTTTCCCAATGTGACAGAGGAAGACAGCAATGAGACAGAGTTGGATGCATGTTTTTGGATAGATACCATTTGGTCTTCAGTGGGTATAACAAAAATAAAAGTCCACACTGTGAATGGCATAGAATATAGCCTTTATGTATTAACATGTACAGGACTTCTTAGTGGACAGGGTGGGTTGGGGAGCAGAGAAACATAATCATTCGAGTGAGATTGCCAGCAAATTGCAGGAACAAAAAGAAATATTTGCTTAACACATATGGTGCAAGTTGAGAGAAGAAATGGATGGATACAAACACCTGTGGCAGAAATGCTAAAAGTACCCACCTGATGATTTAGTGATATAGAATCAAGATTCTGGAACTGGGAAAGACTTCAGCCAAACTAGCAAATTTACACTAGCAAATCAGAATCTCTTGGGAACAGGCTAGAAATGCAAATTCTTAGGCTCCTCCCCAGGAAGGCAGAATCAAGCCCCCTGGGAAAGAGAGCAGCAGTCTGGTGTTGAACAAAACCTCTGGGGAATTCTAAAACTTGCTAAGGTTTCAGTTCTAGCCTCTTTCTTATACACAAAAGACAGTATTGCTGAGGTCCAGCAACTTGAACATGGCAAAGAGGAGAAAAAAACAGAATTCCAGCTTTCAGGATCTCAGATATTTCTTCATTGTTTAACTCTGAGTTGCCAGTATTATTTCCAAAGAATTAAAACTTAATAAAGTATATGTAAACAAACTATAGTTAACATGATTAAAATCAGAGAGCAGAGGCTTGATAGCTGGAACTGAGTTAATGTGTGTTCACAAAACACCTGGCAAACTAACACACTATCTACAATTTGGACTGCAGAGAACATTCAATTCTAGGAGGTCAGAGATACTGGGCAGCTCTGCACAGTATTATGGAAATGGAAATAAGAAGACAGATTTTCAAAAGTAAGAGAAGATGATAGAGAAGCTTTGATAGAGTACAACCAAAGTCACCAACCCATGGCTAATCTGATAAGCACCATCAAATGTAAAATTTTCATCTAATTAAGAAACTATTTGTAATCTCCCAGTCTAACTGGATATGATTCGATTGTCCTAATTCAAAGCAGGTGAAAATGAGAACCAAGGCCACCTGTCATGTAGAGGTACAAGATCCCAACAATGAATGTAACTGTACTGTATCCCTAAAACGTACCAATAAACTCAATTAAAGCTGAAAAAAAAAAAGCAGGTGAAAGCCTAGTGCAAGAGATAGCTAAAAGCCACAAGGTTAGCTGACCCTCCCACGATTTGAAACAAATCCACCAGAATTGTTCATCTTTTTTTACTCTATTTGTTTGGAACTTGACTCCACCATTATCAACAAAATGATCAAGGGAGCAGAGTCAAAAGAACAGCAATGTCCTTGGTTTTTCTTATTTTACCAACTATGTCAATCTACAGAGTCTGTCCGAAAGCAACACTTTCTCACATCTGGAAGGATAGCAAGGCTGGTGGAAATGAGCCACAAGGAGCACAACCAGCATGGAGATCCTGCCTTCAGCATTTCCACCTGAATTCCTGGGAACAGAGGCCCTAGAGAAAAATCTCTGAGCTAAGTCAAGCAAGCCACAGAGTACATGCAGATCGTGCGAGGGCCATTGTCTAACCAGGTCTGACACCCTCCAGGTGCCTCTCTGAGCTCTGCAGAAACCATACTTCTCATATTAGCAAATAAACATTCATTTTTTTTATTCCACTGTCACTTTAAGGGAGCATTTGCACCATAAAATATGAAAATCATTTTAGCATATTTCTTTATTTTTTATTTAACTGATGTGTAACAATACAAAAATTTGGCCACAAATGGTGGCATGCTCTTGTAATCCCAGCACTCTAGGAGGCTGAGGCAGGAGGGTCACAAATTTGAGTTTAGCCTGGGCAACTTAGTGAGACTCTGTCTCAAAAAATAAAGAGGGGTAAAGATATAGGTCAGTGCAAAAGCCCTGGGTTCAAACCTCTGTACTGCAGAGGGAAAAACATAAAAATGTACGTATTAATGGGGATACTATGTGATATTTCAATACATGTATGCATTGTGTAATGTTATACCTCATTATCAAGTTATATCCCATACCCCCTGAAATCTGCCCCTGGGTGCCAGTTCTACTCTCCATCAACAGTCTCACCTCTGGATCCTACTATACCTAACCTGAGCTGCAGTGAAAACCCTCTGACCTGGCCTTCCTTTCCAATTATCTTTCCAGAAACAACAATTGCTTTATCTCTCCCATTTCCTCATACCCATTGCTCCTGCAATAGAGCTTTACAGGCAACTTCTCCACAATACCTGTCTTGCAGCTCAGATACAAGCTGCACACCTCATTCTGACCACCTAGACTAGGGCAGCACAAGGAGAGCCAGTCTTCTTAACCTTCCACACCTGCTCCTGGCCTAGGCACCTACAGGTTTCTCAGCAGACTCTGCCCTGTGAGCAGCCTCTTTCTTATTTCAGGTGACCTGGTTCACCTACAACATCCTCTGGAAACTGTTGTCAGCCCCCAGGCAACATCAAACATTCCTCCTTTCATGCTCCTGCTTAAATTCTGAGTATAACATTTGTATCTTAATCCTCTTAGCATCTTTGATTCCTACGACACTGCCAAGCCCCTTAGAGGTACTCCATGCACCTTACTGAATTATTTCATTAATAAAATATTTTTGTGCAACTACTTTTCCTCCAGTCCTTTAAAATTCTTCTTCACATATACCTTTAATAATTGAAACTCAACAACTACAACTTTAATTTTTTTTCTTCAAGTCAAGGTTATCCAGATTGTCAAGTTCACCAGAATGGCCATGGTCACGAAAAACACAGATTCTTGGGCCTTGTAT